GTCTGCTTTTCTGGCGAAGAATGAGACGGCTGCTTTCTGGAGGGGTCTTGGGTTGTTGATGCTTGGTTCGGCTGGGGGGGGGGGGTGTGTATCATGTGTTATATACCATGGCCTCAGTGCCAGGGACACACTTTGGGTTGACCCGGTTTCCCTGTTCCAGGGCTCGGGTCTCCCGGATCATCCGCAGGGTTATTCGGTCCAGCCACCCTACAGTCCATCCTCGTGCCCACGACGTTCGCAAATTTGTTGCTTTAGCTGCCATTTTGGATAATTATGTCTTGGGCTGACATTCGAGCACTGGGATTTTGGAGGTCAAACAGGGTCTTGACCTCCAGCTTGGCTGCCCGTTACCATGTTAATGCTCCTGGCCTTAGTCGGGTGTGTGTTGCTTTGGGTCACAGGTTGTATCCAGTTGTTTCGACTTCGAGTTGCAGCGCGAGTGGTTGCCGCCTCCCGGGTAAATCTCTTTTTTACTTGTCTGTGGTTAGGTGGCTCCAGGGTGCTGGAGGGGCTCTCCACAGGAAACCAGCATTCAATGTAATGAAATGCCATTTTCTGGGTGAGTCTCGAAGGTTCCCTAGCAATTCTCAGTCCCTCGGTCGGTGGTTTTCGCATTTTTTACATTCAGTCTCTGAACTGAGGGTGGATAGTAGGTGGGGGTCTGGGGCTCCCCCTTCCTCCTCCCAGAGAGGGGGAGCTGCACAGATAGGCAGCGCGGCAGTGGGTGTGACGTCATTGTTTGCTTGTTTTCAGATTGCGGAGTTCTGCTTAGCAGTTTGGTTTTCGGTAGCAATGTTTCACCAGTTGCGGTCTGTTTTTGGACGCCTACCTTTCTGGGTGCCTAACCCAATAGATGGCAGATATAAAATGCTTCCAACCACATGAATGTTTCTACAGGCCATTGCTCCTCTCTGAGGGGGTCAGGTTCTGGCTCACGGTTCCCGGTAAGCTAGGACTCCATTCGAATTGACTGATGCCATGGTCTAATACATACATATGAGCTCAGTATAGCTCCGGAGAGCCTCTGGGACTCGCCCAGAAAATGGTGTTTAATTACATTCAACGCTGGTTTTTTGTTAAAGCTTTTGCCTTTTAATCTGAAGCAGAATATATATTATATAAATGTTGACAATTTATTTTTTGAAGTAGTTAAATTGTGCTAGGGAAAGGTATAACATATTTGTACAGGATCGCTTTGTGTTTGCAGGTGTTGTGTGTTTAACATATGCACACACATGTGATTGTCAAGTTGGTATCCCTGCCATGATACGTACTGAGTTGTGACTGTTTTGTCCACAAACAATACTGAAGTTGGGTGAAATATATGTGCTGCTTAGCTCAGAAAACAGTATTTTTGTTTACATTCACATTTGCAGCATTACTTTCTGGTCTAGACAACATTCTCACAATAAACAGCTACCATTCACAAATAATAATAATAATATAATGTTTATTCAGGTAAAAGTACATACTGTACATACAAAATGAGTTACAAACAGAATGTTGGATTACTTGATAGAGATAGTATATACACTGTGCCTACAGCCACTAATACTAAAATATTTTTCTGATCATTCATTCTTCTCGTTTCATATGTCTATCCTTTACTCATTTCATATTCCTTTGCATTTTCAATAATATTGAGTATTTACTCAAAGCAGTATCATACTTTACATCCATGCATTCATATATTCATCTCTGTGTACAAATGAATATGTTAGGCATGTGTGTCTAATTGATACATTGCTTTAAACTTGTTTGTGCTTGGTAAAGCAGTTCATATTTACCACACATTCTTATTTGCAAATAGTAACTGCTTTATGATCGTGAAAGTGAAACCACTTGTAACTGTTTTAAGCCGTTTTCTAATATTTCTTCACTGTTGCAAATTTTCCAATTCTCAGGTACTGTACCTCAATGATGGATAAATGCTATTGATACTGACCTTAGATCAATAGTACATTAGTACAATTAGATCTAAGTACCAGATCAATAGTAGATCTGGTACCAACAATCATCAATAGATCAATAGTACCAACTCTGAATTAATATTGGTGGCATTGATCTGATGTTTTATTAACTCTGCAAACATCTGGTCAACATTACTGACATAGACATGACATTACCTCAATATTACTGATATTGGATCAATATTTATCTTGTGTCATACCCATGTTAGTAATGATGGTTTACATTTTAAGAGGTTAGCTGGATATTGCTTCCAAGAATCTTGTTTTGGCAAATCTTCAGTTGCAACACACATTCCAGGCCATATTTACTCACCCAATTTGATTAACAAGAGTTGGGTGAAATGAGAGAGGCTGTTCATATTTACTTGGGGGATGCTGGGCTATTGTTCACAGACTGGTGAGAAAGTTGCCTGTCATATGATAGGTTGAAATTAAAATTTCGCTCGGTGAAATTAGCCCATAGTGGTGGGGAGGGGGGGGAGGATATAAGGGCATGAATGGCAACATTCTTAATAGATATTGCTCCTATCACTTTTTTAATAATTTAAAAGAAACAGTTGGAACCTTAGGAAAGCTATTGAGGATATTTAAAATCAAATTGTATGGTTCATTTTTATTTCCAGTTGCAATAATTTTTGTTCACTAAAATATGAGTTCCGTTTTCATTTGAAAATGAGGTTTCAAAGGTGGGGCATGAGAAATATGCTAGATGTGAAATTGCATTATGGGCGGCAGGTTCTCACTGTAGTTGTCTTGCATATAATTGATAGAAATTTAAAATTGTACTAAATTTTATAAATAGTTTAATGCACCACTAGACATGTAAGTTGGAGATTCTAACAGCTTCATGGATGATAATACACAACTCAGACAGTACAACGGATGATAATACAATCATAGCAGACAAAAAAAAGAAAGTGACAAGAGTGCCATGCACTTGGTCTTGGGGCCTGACTCCGGGAACACTATACTATACAATATTGATAAAGAAGTGCAAAATACCAGTATTACAATCTGGTATAATATAGTATTATTATCTGTATAATATTGAGATAAAGCTTGGACACTGACAAGGTACCAGAGGTATTTAAATCAGCAGATATAGCCCCACTCCAGATTGTAGGAAGCAAAACATTGATACTAAATTAGATTGGTCAAACAGTTAGGAGTCAGAACTCAAGTTTTATTGAGAAAACTGAACTATACAACCCAGGTATGCATTGAATTTAGATAAGAAAGATCCTGCTTTATGCAGTTTACCACTAGACAAATCATGGAAACATTCGAGGAAAACCAAAATACTATCATGGAATGATAGTTCATAAAATGTGCTAAATAAATAAGTAAAGCAAAGAGTAACAGTAAACCCAAACACAATCTAGTTTCAGCAGTGACAAAGCTATGTATCCCAATGTATTATCTTTCTACCACTTCTCATTCTCATCCTTATATTAGACATAAACAAAATACAAAAGTAGTATGTAAAGTCATCCTTTGCAGACGACACCAAACCAGCCTGAAAATTGCTCCGGTAGGAAACGTTAAAAAACTATAAATAGATATCGGTAAAGTATTTTGGGCAAAATACTAAAAGTAAATTGGGCAACAGTAATGCACATTATTCTCCTTATACTTAGTTATTCTCCTGTCACTTAGTCAGGGTCAGGAAGCCTGTTAGGCATATCAAGGTCCCCTCCTTGGCTGGTGACCTTCCCCACGATGCAACCCACAACAGTTGCCTAACTCTTGGGTACATACACACTGCTAGGTGAGCATAAGCACCAAGTGAAAGGAGAGGTGCCAAGCCATCTTTGACCTAACTGAGATCCTAGGCTGTGAGCCAAAAACATAAACATAAATAAATAAATGTTATTCAGGTAAAATTACATACATACAAGATTAGTTACAAACGGAATGTCCACTGCTTCTACCACTGTTAAAAAAAAATTATCTGAACATTTTTTTTATACTATGGTACCAAGCTTTTCTGTGAACCACCACAGATGAATACTGCATTCTTAATATTCTTGGTAATTGGCTATAACATTTCTTTTAAGGAATTCCTTTGTTTTCTTGTGAAACAAATCTGCTGTTTGGTTTATATTGGACTGGAATTCCAACCCCCTTCATAGTAGCCCTGAGGTTAATTCAGAGTGCCGAGTGCTTGGTTTCACTCAGAATCTCAATCCATCCATCCCTCTGAGTACATCACTTACAGCATCAAAATTAATTCATGCACATCCTTAGTTTGTACAAAAATTCCCACAACAAATTGACCCCTTGATCATAGTTTTCATGATTCTCAAAATGTGTTTACTCCAAAGTAATTTTTTTTAGCAGGCACTTTTAAATCTGTGCTAGTTAGTGATATTCAGAACAATAGGCTGTCACTTGAAACACAGATTTATTCTTCCATGCTAAAGCAAAATATTGGTTAAAACCATATAGCCATAGTAATCGGGCATTAGTTGTTGACTTAGACAAATACTGTATAGTAGTTCATATTTCTAGTCCTAATGACTTGAACAAATTTGGGTCTGGTTGAAGTAAGATAAAAAAATTTAAATATTGCAGTTACATATTTGAAGAAGTATATACTGTATATGTATATATATCTGCAGTAGTAGCATTGGGTGAAAAGGCACTTAGGAAAGTGAGAAATTTGTTGTTATTTGCACGTAAGCATGTTCTTGGTACAGATAATGCTTAATTGTTAAGTTCTTGCACTTTGAGTTCAACTTGGTAAGGAAAGTTTTGAATTATATTAGAAATATAGCTGCATGCCATCAAAACGGTCATACAAAATAATTGTTACTTTTTTATATATAATATAATGACAATCAAGAATTAAAATTACTGTTGATAATAATTTATCACATAAAGAAGCCACAATGAAGACAATTCAGATTTTTTAATTTACTTAGTCTTAAGTTTGGAATTTGAATAAAAACGTTTTCAGTCAGTTTTAGCTGGTGTAACATTTTATGAATAGTCATGCTAGTATGTTAATACCATTGCTTTTTTATACAGCTCAACAGCAGCAATCGGGAAAGGGTCGAGGAGCCAAGCGAAAGGTACCAGAGACAACTGCTGGCAACAAGAAAGCTCGAGGGGATATGCCAGCCCCTAAACTTCATGGCTACCCAGTAGACCATCCCTTTAATAAAGATGGCTACCGTTACATTCTTGCTGAGCCAGATCCTCATGCTCCTTTCAGGTACAGTGTTCTTCAAAAGCCCCACAGGGTAAGAAAATTGCAACCAAAGACTGAACAAAGAGGCAGAACTCCCCCAACTTAAATAAGCAAACGTCACACACTGCCGCCGTGCTGCTTGTCCGTGTAGCCTTCCCCTCCCCAGGAGGGAAATGGGGAGCTTAGGAGGGAGGGTGGAATGGGTGGTGGCACCCTCCAAACATCCGCTCCAGACCACGTCAGCCAATGAACTAGAGTTGTTGAATAGCCGGTGTGGGGGGGCGCCTCCTCCTCCCTGGGAGGAAAGAGCTATGCGCACAAGCAGCGGAGTGTGAAGTTTGCTTGTTTCTTTAAGTAGGGGGAGTTTTGCCTCTGTTCGGTCTTCGGTTGTAATTTTCTTACCTTGTGGGGTCTGTTTTGTTATATCTACCTTTCTGGGTGGCACCCCAATTGATGGCAGATATGGAATGCCCCCAAATACATGGGGGTTTCCATAGGGCCATTGCTCCCTGTGCCTCTCTGAGGGGGCCAGGTTCTGGCTCATGGTCTCCGGTAGGCTGAACTCCAATTGACTGATGCCCCATACTAATATAACGTATATCAGCCTGATATCTCCAGGGAGCCAAAGGAGTTCCCCCAAAAAAGCACAAAACAATGAAATTCTTTATAAAAATTCAAGCGCGGTCATCACTAGGTGGGATACACTGGTAAACTGAGTGCCTCGCCTGCACTCGCTTGACCCATATAAGTATCAACAGACGAATTGTGTTACAAGGCAAACATTGTAAACAATTCAGATTTTACGATGAATTTGATGTCGTATACCAAAAAAAATTGTAATCTAGGGCAGTCGTAAACCAAGGTACCACTGTACTTATAAGAAGGATGAGGACCATAGTGCATATACCAACATACAACGCAATTTGAAAGTAGAAATCCGTACTATTGAATTTGGACAAACTCGAAAACAATTTTCTACTTATGTTGCAAAGACAAACTAACCTAACATAACCTAACCTTCCAAGGTCTAATACATGCTATAGGACCTAATATAGTACATAGGTGTGGTATACTAGCCCTAGGAATATTTAAGTTTGTTTTTTTGTGGGGAGACCAGTCGGCTCCTTGAAGCTATCCAAACTGACATGTGCAATATTAGTTTGGGATCATCAATCACAGGAGTTCTTTATACCTACCGGAAACCATGAGCCAGAACCTGGTTCCCTAGAGAGGCGCAGGGAGCAATGGCCTATGAGCACTTTAAATTTAAAGTATATGGACTAGGACTTCCTTAGTCCAAATATCCTTCTTGCATCTCCCTTCTTAACTAGAAATTGCAACTAATATATTATATTAATAGCAATTTCTTTTTCAGGCAAGAGTTTGATGACAGTAATGATTGGGCAGGTAAACCAATTCCTGGATGGCTTTATCGGGCCCTTAGTCCTGGAGCTGTACTCCTGGCTCTGCATGACCGTGCTCCACAACTTCGCACAGCCGATGATCGTTTGGCTGTGACAGGAGACAAAGGTTATTGTCTTATCAGAGCCACTCATGGTAAGTTACGTATGGTTATATAAGATATCTCCTCCTCTGCCATAGACAGCGCGTTTGGCCTGGAGACTTTCCATCTTTATCGTTTGTAGCATTGTGTAGAATCTTCTTAAAGTATTTTAAATAGCTGTTAACAAAGTATATTCGAAAATTTTAAATACTGTACCCAGTATTTGATTAGGAATTGTTCTTCCTAATTTATCTTTAACATAAATCAAGTATTATCTCTTGCCTGCTCTGCTGAACAGTAATGTATAGCAGCAGCCTTAGTGAGAGCCTTCAGTTCCTCCTGGAACATGTCCATGCCTGCTGTGAAAGCACCTGCAGCCTTCCCTGTGATCTAAACATTATGCACTTAGTGCTCAGTTGTTGGTGATTGTAAAATTATAAAACCATCTCTTGTTGGCCTTCAAGGATTCTTCTCTCTTGATGTTGAACCTTCTTTCACCAGGATTTCATATATCTTCAAGGCTTTAGCAGAGATGGCATTAAAATTAAGCAGTATTCACTTCTAGTGCTGCACTTCCACCCAAGTTGCCAGGATTTCTCTATTCTCTCAGTCACAGGATTTCTCACACTTGAAGTCCTCTAATATTAAGAATACTTCACCTAGCTGTAGGTTCTTTAATTCTGTCTGCATTCTTCTTGACGGTAAGAATGCTAGACATCTTTATCTTGTAGTGACAGCTTTTTGTCATCATTGTCATTAGATGCAGCAGGAGTTGAAGCACATTTGATAGGTACAGTAGTGTGATGCAAGAAGCTAATCCAAAATGCTAGTAAAACACATTAAAGATATGTGGAATCACAAGGTTCACACGACACTTGAAAAGAGCCCACATGTATTGCTTTAGCCACATAGCTTACAATGCTGCTCATCATGTTAAGCTGGACCCGCTACAGCTCCATGTATAAACATGTTAATGCAACCTATGTAAATAAAGTTTGGTTTGCACTGTTCAAAACTTGGTAAAAATTGCTTTCTCTGTAAATGTGAGCTCTTTAGATGTTTCTCTCAATACCCAGTAAAAGAAACATATTTGACTGCAACCCATAAAAGGTAAATTACAACCCAGGTTTTCTTGAAAGACACAAAACAGCATGCATATCACTACCATTATTTTTTTAATGTGAAATGAAATGATCATTATCAGCATCGTTACTATTTTCATTACAATTATTGCTATGATTAGCTTTATGCACTAATGAGTTTTCAACTGTTGTTTTAACCTTAGTGGCTACTTAGTGAACAATCTTCCAGTATGCAGTAATGGGGAACTCTGTTACACGAGCATGGATTCAGACACTGACAACAAAGACAAAATCGTATTTAATGATAGTTGCAGGCCCCGAGTACACATAGTAAGCAATTACAAAAGAATAGCATACTTTTTCATGTCTTTGTTAGCTCCAATACACCCATATGTGTACATCATTTGTATAAAAACCTGGCAATAATAATGAAAATGGAGAAATGGCAATGATGACTGTAATGGGACAGAAGATCAACAAATGACAATAATAAAATTTTAAGGGTTAATGAACTTGCTTTCTTCACCTGCAAGTAGCCAATGAAAAATTCTATGGTATATAATATGATATCTAATGTACTACTTGTACTGTATTTATAACAGGTGTGAGTCGTGGAGTATGGTACTGGGAATGTACAATAGAAGAGCAGCCAGAAGGTTCACATACACGTATAGGGTGGTGCCAGCAACTTGCTAACCTTCAGGCACCTCTTGGATATGACAAATTTGGATATTCATGGAGGTCAAGGTAAAATATTTATCTGAACCCTTAAATGATTACTTTCAAGGAAAGAAGGGAACAAAAGTTCATATAATGAAGATCTTGGTGTTTTCGGGTAGGATTATGGGTAAAGTTTGAATTGACACGTCTAAGAGGTGAAGAAGGTATTACAGAAGTGGTGAATCCTTGTCTCTAATAAACCGTTGAAACTTGGGTCAATAATAGTTAAGAAACTTCTAGAAAGTAAGTACATAATGAAATTGAATTCTAATACTATAGAGGGAAAAATAGTGGCACATTTTTGCATGACATTGCCCTTTGTTTTTCTGTCCATGTACAGATAAACCTCACTTAACAAATGAGGATATGCTATCCCAAAAAGCTGTTAGATGATAAATTAAAAATAAATAACTAGTCTCCCATTTGCTATCATGTTAAAAGCTCAGATATGTCCCAGATGCAAAAATTTTCCTCTCCAGAATAATTTTACAATTATGAGAGATACACATTATGATTAAATAATATAATAATAAAACATCAAATGTATGTATGACAAAAATGTGTGTGATTCGAGGTATTGTGACCCTCTTTTTAGCCTTTTTGATGGGGTTTCCCTCAGTATGTCTTATGTCAGCAAAAAGAGTGTCTAATGACACTATGCTTTCCCGCTTGTGTGAGGGGACAAGATTGTTGTCACTGCTAATGGTAGCCCGTGTAAAGTCCGAACCACTTGCTGGAATGATGTAAGCCTCTGGGTACCAGTTCACTGGGGAGCCAGCCACTGAGGGAAGGACGCTACCTCAGAAAATGTGCACATTATAGTTGGACAAATACTGTACGGTAAAAGTTTAGTGTTCTTAGCTTACAATGAAAAAAGGTAACATATGAAGAGAATATGGCTTAGTGTGTAAGTATAATTTTATGCATGTAAGTATGATTTATCTTATTTTCTGGGTGTCTGCATTGAAGACAAAATAATATATAGTTCATAATTTTAAAATAAGATTATAAAGATATATATTTTATTAAGCTTACATATTTTTATCATTAATTCCTGAATAATATTTTGAATCAGTTTTATTTAATGTTACTGAAATTGTGGATAATTTGTATCTTTTATACAGTAGACGTTATTTTTCAGGAAGGGAACAGTGTTTCACGAGTCCCGTGGGAAGCACTACTTTGAAGGAGGTTTTGGCGAGGGAGATGTACTGGGTATTATGATTGACCTCCCTGAGAAGAATCCTGTGTTGCAGTTCCCACCAACATACAAGGATAAAGTAATGCTGTGAAATTAGCTAAAAGTCTACTTGTGTGGTATACAGAAGAGAATTGTAATTTACATACAAATTTAAACGCGGTCATTAGTTCTTTTATGAAGAGTTAGCATTGACATTGTCTTGGACAGCTGATTTAGCACATTTAAAGGCACAGATTTTAAATCGGCTTGAATCATTTTTAATTGATATCTGAGAGAATGTGTGTTGAACATAATTAAATACATTGATCTTTATAATATCCGAGTGCTAGAATCGAGAGGTAAAAACCCTGTACGATCCCTGCAGAATCAGGGATGCGAAGGTCACGCTACCCACTGGCTGGGTTCCACAATGTCGCTGAGAGAGCAGGATGTTGCCTAATAGTGAATGAGTATCCTGCTTAGAAAGAATCTTTGATTTTCACTTAAATCTTTATTTCTTTTTTCTTAACTTGATAAATTAGTATTCCATTCCACTTGGAGGGGGAGTCACATGCATACCATACTACTTTCTGTGCTGCATGCGTGAGGGTGGTGTGATCCAAAATGAACCCTCCTCAAAATAATTATGGCTCTGTGTATGGATTAGTAAAAACAGTAAAGTGTTTACTAGTACGTTTTAGACCCTTTAACTCATTCAGATTCTTTATTAATGAAATTTATTTTATATCTTTCAGCCACTAGTCAAATTTCGATCTCACCTTTATTATGAAGATAAAGATGATGTACCAGAAGCCCTGAAGAATTTAAACCCTCTTTTAGGAAGTAAAATTATATTTTTCAAGTGAGTAATTATTATACATAAATTTATGGAATTTATTAACAGATTTCAAATAGATGTGAAAAACTGTAATCTTTAAAGTATAATATGAAATAGCAGGGCTTCAGTTGGCATATATTTTAATGGTGCATTTTACAGTTACATGATTTCTTTTCTAACTTTCTAAATATGTGTGTGGCAGAGTGTCACAGTTGCATGGTTTTGTTTAGGTAAGGTATGAGTGCTGAGAGCTGGTTAGAGGTGTTGTGTTGGTGGGGTGTGTTTAGAACTTGTAGGGGATGTTGAGTGCTAGCAGGTGAGGGGTGTCGACAGCTAGCTGGTGAGGGGTGTCTACAGCTAGCTGGTGAGGGGTGTCGAGAACTAGCAGGTGAGGGGTGTCGACAGCTAGCTGGTGAGGGTGTCTACAGCTAGCTGGTGAGCGGTGTCGAGAACTAGCAGGTGAGGGGTGTCGACAGCTAGCTGGTGAGGGTGTCTACAGCTAGCTGGTGAGGGGTGTCGAGAACTAGCAGGTGAGGGGTGTCGACAGCTAGCTGGTGAGGGTGTCGAGAATAGCAGGTGAGGGGGTGTCGACAGCTAGCTAATGAGGGTGTTGAGAGAGCTAGCTGGTAAGGGGTGTTGACAGCTAGCTGATGAGGGTGTCGACAGCTAGCTGGTGAGGGAGCCACATGGTTGAGACTTTCACGGGTAAATGTGTATCGAACAATAAAAGACAAATTTATAACTAGTACACAAACACTGACCCTACATATATGAATAGCAAAGGTGACGTTTTCGGCCATTTTGTATCACTATAATGAAGAGAGCCAAGCAGAGCAAAAAGAAGTAAAAGATGTGAGGTAACACTTAAATCTGTAGAAAAAAAGTCCCATTAGGCATAATAAAAATTAAACAGACTCTAAGTGTATTGAAACAAGATTGTGTGGAAAGTTTGCTGCTGTTGTCACCCCTTTGACTGGTGGTGTTTAGAGGGAGCAGCCCATAAGATATAAATATTGTACGGTGGAGTCTACTTTAAATGGTTCTCCCTTTAACACAAGTCTAAAGCTAGCTGGTGAGCATTCATTGAAATCTCATTTCAATGAATGAGATTTTGTTTTAGTCATGTAAAGTTTGTCATTGTATTGTGTCTTGCTTAGATGTAAATACCTCTAAATCCTATAGAAACTACACTGTATAGTTAAAATTATCCAGTTAGGTCTCTAACAAATGGATCAAATGGTATGTAGAGTACTCGCACTCAAATGGTGAGAGGTTTGTCCTGTTAGGCAAACACTGGAGACTACCAGAAAACATTCTAATAAAAATGTAAGACATCATTACCGTATTTTAAAATATTAGATGGGGTACCCAGCAGTGCTCAGATCGATACAGTGCCCAGGTCATTCCCCACACACACACACCCTCCCCATCTTCCCCTACTCACACTCTCCATGTCACCCCCACATCGCTGTAACATTCTTCAGTGCACACTGTCTTTCTCACTGTAAACATCTTCATTCCCTATGACACCCTCCTCATTTTCCACCTACACACCCTGTCATGTCCTCACCACCCCCATCTCCCTCCTACTCAGGTACTCTATTCAATAAACCCGTCACTGAGTAATGCCTCCTGAAAACTAATTTCGATGAATGAGATTTTGTTTTAGTTATGTAAAGTGTGTGTCATTGTATTGTGTCTTGCTTATATGTAAATACCTCTAAATCCTATAGAAACTACACTGTATATTGGAACATCCAAATACTGCACTAGCTTTAGAATGTTACTTCACTCTTCATTGATGTCAATGCAGAAAACAAAAATCAGTGTATAAGATAAAAAATAATACCTTTCCAATGATTCTTTCTTAAATTATTAAGACAAGTTAAAAAATTGAATGTCAAATCAAAATTAAGTACGTAAGATGATTATTAAAATAATTATAGTTAAATATGTTCATATGTTCCTAAAAGAAGTGTTTCAAATTACTAATGACATAATTGCAAATCAAGTGTGTGTTAGAGGAAACAGAAGGAAAAAGAATTGTTGTTTTATGCAAATTGTTAATATAGAGCAAATAGATCATTTGTTTATAATAAATATACACGTACACCTGCAAATTATGCTTTGCTACAGAATTGAATCACTGATTTTGTTTCAGAAATGGCAAATGCTGTGGAGAGGCTTTCCACAATATTTACGGAGGTACATACTATCCAGGAGTATCCCTGTACAAAAATATTACAGTATCTGTTAATTTTGGACCAGATTTCAAGCATCCTCCTTCCTCCTACAACTACACTGGGGTGAGTTGAATTGATCATAAGAAGTAAAACACAAAGGATGCATTCAGGAATATTGTCATTATTTGCCTTCTCATATGAAACAATTGAAACCAATTGAAAAGGGGGACAGCTTTTCAATATTATATGCTTTCCTTCCCATATAAAGTTAGATGAATAATATGTAGTCCCCTCTTATATACCATTGCACTGTTGTTAATATCATGTGATGATTTAGGTTTTTCTGGCAATGTTTGTATACCGATGTGGTCCATATGATTCAGTAGCTCACTGGTGACTCCCAGCAGTCATGGGAGGCTACGGGATGCTTTGGAGAGACATCAGTCAGTTCCCGGTATCCCATCATCATGTATTTGATGATGGAAGCTGTTGCTGCGGTCTTTGAAAAGTTATTGAATTTTGTCTCTGCTTACTTTGGTTGCAGATGAACGAAAGGTGTGAGGAATCCATGGTGGAGCGGACACTTGCAGACATGACCTACCTGGTGGAGAATGAAGGAAAGCTAAGATTGGATGTGTTCACATAAAAGATATCATGCACAAATTTGAACTATAAATTTACTGAAATGGGCTGCTTGTGCTATGTAAATGTAGTGAAGAGCAGTATAATTTGGCAGTTTTATTAAATAATTTTTGGTACATTGAATGGTATCATTAACCTATTTATGAAGTGAGTACTTTGTCTTAAAACTTAGTCTGTGCTTTGTTACATCTCCTTAATATATTTGTAATAAATTATCATATCGTTGAGCAATCCATAACAGTTTATATGAAATTGATTTCAAATTTTTTAGTGTTCAACAACTCGTATAACTGGAAAATAATTTTTTTTTTTAAGTCTCGTGAAAGGCATTTGTTAGTGACACAAAAAAATAAAATATAGTACATAGCCATTGGCTAGCATTTTGGTTTGGTGTTTGCAAAATTAATACCAAAGACGTTAAGAACTCACATTAATCAGGGGTGCTTAGACCTGCTAATTTTTAAAGTTCCATAAGGTTTCAGTGCTTTTGATTTATTAAAAAATAACTAAAAATATTTAAAAGCGATTCTAAAGTTGAAAAGCGATGTATATGCACTTCTCACAGTGCACTTTGTGTTCCTCTGGTGACATTTGACTATCCGGAACCACCCCAAGATCTCTGCTAGAGTTCTTTAATTCCTTTCCACATAATTTATAAATTGTGTGTGGTCTATTTTCACTTATTCCACATTCCATAACATGGCATTTATTCACATTGAATTCCATTTGCCACATGGTGCTCCAAGCACTTATTTTATCCAAGTCAATTTGAAAGGCAAAATAATTGTCTATATCTCCTATTTTCCTTAGTAGCTTAGCATAATCAAATATGTTTATATAATTCTGTATTCCTTCTGGTAGATCATTTATGTAGATGATGAACATCACTGGCACGAGAACTGAACCCTGTGGTACTCCGCTTGTAACACTCCTCATGTCAGATACATTGCCTCTGATTACCACTCTCATCTTTCTGTCCAAAAAAATTCTACCTTGTCAGTGGTCTCCCTGTCTCCCCTCCAGCATGTTCCAGTTTCCAAAACAACCTCTTGTGTGGGATTGTCAAAATCCATTTTTAGGACCAGATATACACAGTCAACCCAACCATCTTTTACCTATAGAATCTCTGTTGCTCTGTCATAAAAACTTAAGTTGATTTGTTACACAGGATCTTTCTGTTTGAAAACCATGCTGTCTGTATGTTATTATGTCATTACTCTCCATGTGTTCTACCAATTTGGTTTTAAAAACAATTTCTATTGTTTTGACTACCACGCTTGTTAATGATATAAGTATGATATAAGTATAATTTAGAGGGTCTTCACTGCATCTCGAGACACCTCTATGTAATCTATGGTGTTCTCAGGAATTGGCATTGTGTGTCTTTCTCCGAAAACCTCATTTTTGTACTCACTTTGGAACTTTTCATTTAGTGTTTTGCACATTTTCTTCATTTTCTGTGAATCTTTTTCCCCATTCTCAATCTCTGGATTTTATCCTTTTCATACTGCTTGCTTTTAATGAATTTATAGGAAACGTTGATGTTGATGCATAGATATATGTATCTATGTAGTTGATATGACAGAAAAATAGATCGGGAGTCAGTACTGTACATTAGATAACCGACGATTAGAAAGGTGGGGTTCAAGAGCCAAGAGCTTGATCATGCAAGCACAAATAGTAAAAAACAAACACATACACACACACACATATGCATGTGTGTGTGGGGGGGGGGGGAGGCCTGATAACTGAGTGGACAGCACTCTGTACTCGTAATCCTATGGTCCGAGTTCGATACCCGGTGATGGCAGAAACAAATGGGCAGAATTTCTTTCACCCTGATGCCCCTGTTACCTAGCAGTAAATAGGTACCTGGGAGTTAGACAGCTGCTACAGGCTGTTTCCTGGGGAGGGGGGTAAAAAAAAAAGTTGATTGACAGTTGAGAGGCGGGCCGAAAGAGCAGAGCTCAACCCCCGCAAGCACAACTAGGTGAATACACGCTTGCGTGCGCGCAGCGCACATCTCGAGCTAAAAGCTTGGGGCTTTCTCCTGATAATTCCCTTCCTTGACTAGAGAGCCGAGTCAACGACTATCATAACAAAAGTCCAGAATAAGTGGACTTGTTTACCAACAACCGAGGCCTGTGTTGCATCACCCGGCCCCGCCCATTGGTCATCACCCTCGTATGATGCGCTAGTCTATTCCCGTCCACTGTGAACCAAGCATTACTGTAGCCGCTGTGGGAGGTAAAATTACTCTCCTTGCTGTAACAGGCCATGCAGGCTACACCCGCTCCTGTCTGCTACCACATATAGTGAAGGATTGGGCTTTCAAGAAGTTGTGAATCGCAGGCTTTGAAGGATTCAACCAATGTTCTCAACAAATACTTTAATCTATTCACACTAGAATGATTAGACAATCATCCCACCACTCAGATGTTTGAAGCAGGAGAAGCCAATGAGTTAGAGATTATCCCAATTGTGTAGGAAATAATCAGGAGGATAATTTATAATTAAAGGAATCTGAAGCTTTAGGTGTGGACGGAATTCAATTTGAAATCGTAAAGGAACTGGCCGATGAACCGATTGCGCCTATCACAGATTCCCATTCAAAAAACCTCTGCTCTAGGTAATATCCCCCAAAATTGGAAATATGCAAATGTCACCCCATCTTTAAGAAAGGCTGGAAAAGTTTCGCAGAAAACTTTCCAACCAATCAGCCTAATCTTACATATCCCGGGCGGGACAGAACTAGTTGGACGCGTTTCCTATCACCTAATGATAGATGATAGGAAACTTGTTGTTTAAGATTCAGCTACGGGGAACAAAACGTTCCAAGTAGCACGGGCTATGATGAGCCCGTAGTGGATTTACCTGGCACAGGCGCGGCTGTAACTGGATAGGAAACTGCTCACCTAGCAGTAAATAGGTACCCGGGAAGTGGTCAGCACGTTATGGGGTTGCATCCTGGGAAGGGACCTCGATCTAAGTCAAACAAGTGCTATATTTTTAGACTGGCTGCCTGTCCCCCGACACAATGAATTATTAGATTATATCTGCAAGCTCACGGAGTGAGGACTACCTTTCGGTGCACAGCCATGTAAAATCAACTCAACATTGTTGTGTAAGAGTTCTGCCCAACTTACCTGTTCACATTTTTGTAACGGTAACCTATACATGGAGAACTTCCAGTAAATATATGTTGTGTAGGTGGACTTCTGTAAAACTTTTGATAAGTAGCACATAAAACTGCAAGCACCTATGGAACACACGCCAAAATATAAAAAAGGATAAATTACTGGTTAAAACAGAGAGCAAAAAGGTTGTTTTAATATAAATTAATCTGATTGGAAAGATATTGAGTGGGGAACCGAAAGGTTCCATGTTGGGGCTAATTATTTTTATAATATACATACACGACATAGATGAGAATATTAAATACCATATCAACCAATTTACAGATGACACAGAGATCTGTGGCAATGTGGCAAGGGAAGCTTTCTGTCCGTCATTAATTGTTGCTGCGGGCGGTGGAGAGTTTAGGGTGCACTCTAATCTCATCTTGTGGGCGGTAGTTTATTGTGCACCCAAGTCTCGTCTTGTTAGCAGAAGGGCAAAAACATTACCGAAGGAACAAAAGGCCTTAATCAGACCTCAATTTATCTACACGCTTTATATTTATTTTAATAGTATTATGACACTTTTTTGCACCGCAACGCCTTTATGTATGACAATATTATAATACACACTGGAGGTAAGTCATTTTGGTAATAATTAAAATAGTTAAGAGGGTAAAAGAAGTGCTGCTGTTTATGATTTTATTCTACATAGTTCTTTCAACATATATATTCAATCCGTTCTGAATAGTACATCGCATTTCGACGTATAATTTTCCTAAGGCTAAAAACTGATGTATTGAAAATGGTTGCGGGTCGCGAAATTGACGTGATGTTCAGTTTTTTGTTCGTGGGTCGTCGGGTAGGTTAGGTTCGGGCAATTTAGTACAACGATTTATTGACGTTGAGAACGCTCGGGAGAACGAGCTGATATATTTTCTGTTATCAACGAGAACTGAAATATGGATACAATACATACATTTCAGATATTTTATTATTTGCAATAAATGATTTGCCATTTCATAAAAAAATTACTTAGATTCATCTCTGGCCATATTTCTGCACATAATAAACTGTAATGCTGTAGTTGTGTCCCATATCTTAGTTCACGCACCTCACATTTTATGCCATCTAGATCTCCATACAGGCTGAACTGCCAAAGGTACTTGTAGCCAAGTTGTATTTGAGTTGCGACAATCGTCAGTCTATTTGATTTTGCTTCATACAAGTGTTTTGTTCCACGTACTTCATTGTGAAAAACAATGGAGTTGTTGTAGCTCCTGCTAGTCCTTTTGTGTTTTAAGTTCATCTAAGAGGTCTAGTGACACATTTAGAATTGTATTTGATAGCTCAAGATTATGTTCAAGATTGTCTTTATTTACTGCAATCTTGGCAAGGGATCAACCTTATCATGATCTTGCAGCCTCATGTGTGTCGAGGGATCCACGGCAATTTGACTCTGATCTTTACATTAAGCATATGTGGGTTTAGAGACAAGCACGTAACAATTTGACTGAAAGCTACTTAGAGCAAAAAAATGAAGAAAGGAAGTAGGGGATAAATAAGTTGTTTACTCTAGTGGTTTTCATAAATTTGGCTTCTATACAAGTATTGGAAGCCGTTCATCTTATAAGGTGTGTGCCCAATTATTGACTCTTACATTCCTCTTAAATGTGTTGCAATTTGGCTGGCTTACAATGACTATGCCCCCCCCCCTTTCCCCGTCCCCTCCCCCTCCCAGTACTGTACCTGAATTAAGAGAGCCGTCAGAGCATAGGGGTCTGTACTCATCTAATTATGCTTCCGCGGGTGGGTGGGGGAGGGGGAATTGAGCTTCGTCTCTTTGGTCCCGCCTCTCAACTGTCAGTCAACTGATGTACAGGTTCCTGAGCCTGTTAGGCTCTATCACATCGATATTTGAAACTATGTATGGAGTCTGCTTCCACATCACTTCATTGTTCATTCCATTTGTTTAGCTTCTCTCACACTGAAAACAAAATTC